TGTCCCAGTGCTGCTCAGTGTTTGTAAACAAGACTCTCAGCTGGCCCCCAGAGACCTATTTAGCCCGTACTAAAAGCAGGGCTGTTGTTTCGGTGCAAAGATCCCCCAATTTTTTTAACAGAAGCAATATGGGAACTAGACTAAAAGGGTTCAGAAATGTCTCTTTTATCTTCCCATTTGGAAACCTGAACTGCAGTGGAGTTTGACAGGATTATTTTATTTACTCTCTCTCCTATAGCAGAGCTATTTCTGGCTGCCTGTCTGGCGATTGCTATTAAACTGCTCTCGTTTTGCTTCTCATCCAACCTGCTTTGCTCCGAGAGCTCAAGGGAAGACAGCAATAGCAATAAACCACAAGCTGGAGTTTGCATTGCCTTTTGATTACAAGAGACACATAAAAACTGCAAATGAAAACTATATGTGTTTCATGCAGTCACTGATCTTTCTGCTCTGTCAGAAAACACGAAGCACGGAGCCCCAGCAAGGGCTGTTGTACTACTGGTGAAAGAAAAGCATCATTTGGTGCAGAAACTCTGTTAACTCCTCATACGTCATACTGTCATTTCCAGCCTCAATGCCACAGTGCTCTTGATCCTATTGGAAAACCCAAGAACAGAAAAAGGAAGATCCTCATCTATTCCATGAGGTGCACCTCGAGCATCCCCCAGCATAACAAGCCACGATCATAATTAATGCTGTGTGTCACAGGCCTGGATGTGAAGTACTGGGATTTGCTAATTTAAAGCATCCCTGTGTCAAATTCTCTCAACTTCAAGGTGATAAGTAGACCCTGTGCCTTTAAGGCAACAGCTTTTAATGCTACCATCATCAAGGATTGACTTCATTTCTTGGTAATTATGGTTAGCATACTGGAATATGTATTCTTCTTTCCTGATTATAGACATATGGTTAAGTCAAGCTGAGGCCAGTGCTTGCTTCCTACACGGTTTATTCCCTTCTTCCTTTCCAAAAGGCATTTTTGCATTAGGGTAACCAAGTGACAGCCTCTCCTGAAGAGAGCACCACTCTGTCCCCAGGCACACTGCAACGTCCCAACCACTGGTCAGGAAACACAGGCAGAAAATTCATTAGCAGAGCCTGACATTAATGCAACAGCTAAAAAGTTCCCCAGCTTTGCAAAGATCTAAATCATGAGATCTCCCAGTGGCTCTTTATCAGGGACTGCAGACATCCAAACCAGCGCAGTGCTCCCCTTCTGAGCCAGGCTCTGGGAATGCTCTGCAGCACCTACCTGCACCCTCTGCTATTTCACTCTTCACTTTCTGGAGGGCCGAAATGGTCAACATGACCATTTCCTCTGACTAAACTTCTCACTTCCCAGCACCAGCAAATAACTTGGTGGTGGCAGTGGGAGGGAACCAGCGCTCGTTCTGGTGGCAAAGTCTAACCAAAGAGATTTGTAAAAGCTCAGAGAGCATTTTGATTTGTGAAATTCTCCCCCCAGAAGCTGGCAGCCACTGAGGAGAGCTGCCTGCTGTAGTGTCAGCTTCCCCACCTGCTGCCACTGCTCTTCATGCAGCCCTCGTAAACCTCAGTGCAAGTTTCCTGCTTGGAAGAGAGACATAAATATACCTCTACTGGCAGCAGTAACATCTGTCAGCACATTTGAATGCAGCCCTTCATAATTGCTCATTTTCACAAACTAGGTCTGAAGTCCTGTCAGTTCTCCCAGACGTGGTGGCCATGGAAATGCATTTGGGATTTCTCAGTCTGAGGCAGCAGAACTTCCACTGGTAACCAGGGACAGTTGGATCTGAGTGGTGCCATCGCATGGATCTGAGCGGTGCCATCGCAGCCTTCCTGACAGCTGAACTGTATTAATGACTAGCTCATTATAGTCATATTAATACAGTCACAAAGTTCAAGACAGTCACATCTTAATGACTATCCTGATACCCAGCCCTTTGCATGCAAACAAACCATGAACCTGGTAACCACCAGCTGCCCTTACACCCAAGTTGCAAAGACGGGACCTTGGCTCAGCTCACACTGCAAAAACCCTTGGAAAAATCCTAGGAGATCCAGCCAGTGGGAAGAAAACAGGGACACGTTGAAGGAGCTGCTCCCACCGGCCGCTCTCAGTCCATCCCACCCATCTGCTGAGCCCAGAGTGAGCAATAGGATACAAGGGGTGACTCCAACCTGCAGAGATCAGGATCTGTTCCACCAGCAGCTCATGTAATCAGTGTCTGTCACAGAATCCCTGTGCGTTACTAGGGGATTCAACAGCACAGAGCTGCTGCAGTGCAGACATCTACCAGGGAGACAACAGGTAGCTGAGGTGAGGATGATGTGCAGGTAACTGCAGTGAAGAGCTGGAGGAGTGGGAGTGAAATAAACACTTGTCTTCTAGAGCCTCTCAGGGTATCTAACATGCTCTCATAAAACTAAATTATCTGTGATATATTTAACTAAGGATCTGGGATTAATTTCTGATTTCTATTAAAAATCTCTTCTGACCAACAAGCAGGTAGAATTCAAACATTATACTTCAAAACCAAATCTATTCTCAAATAGACTGTGTCATGATTGAGGATGTATCACACCTATTAATTTACTGTATCTGAAGCAAACCCACACACGCAGAAGATGTTCTGAAGAGGAAGATTCACTGAGATGTCCACTCTAAGTGGTCCCAAAGCTGAGTATTTTGATCAGGCTCATTGACTAAACAAACCTCATGCAAAACATAGGTCAGGTTGTTCATGAGTTTCTCAGGGCCTGCGTCTGGAGGTCAGCTCCTGCTTTGGAAACCTCTAAAGGATTTCATTCTCCCTGTACAGGAGGCAGGGGAGGAGGCAGCCCTGGGCCAGTCTGAGCTCCGAGATCTTCTGGAAATCTCTAACATTCCCTTCTGGACTCAGACAACTCCAGCTCCCTGAGGGTTTGCTGAAGTGGGACATGGAAGCACACTGTGAGCTCAGACCAGGCTCAAGCACTTGAATTCCTGTGCCTGGCACCAGGCTGTGCTGCAGATGTCCCAGGACATGATGCTCTGCCTGTCCCTGGTCAGGATCCCTGTGGATCCATCCCTGGGGATGTGTGGGGCATATTTCATATCCCTCAGAGAGTAACTTTAAAGCATGAGGTAAGGAAGGCTGGTTCCAGCTTCCTGCACCATGATACAAAGAAAGCCCCAGGATACAGTGCTCTGGCTCTAAAGCAGAGGTTATCCTGCTAGATGGATGCCTGCTGGGATCTGTAACAGCAAAGCCTGACACAAGGGTCAAGACAGCAGAGGCTATAAATCATTCAGATTTATTTTATACAGGATGTGTGATCCCAAAATGTGAGCTCACACTCCTCTGGATTCCACGCTCAGACAATCTTCCTTAATAATGTGCAGGGAAAGCATTATCAAAACAGGAGAATCCAGCTGCAACCCCATCTCCCTCCTACCCCAGCGCTGAACAGTGACAACTGCAGCTTGATGCTGGAAAAAGAGATGCAGGAGAACCTACAAGAAGATATGAACTATGTGCCCACGGATCAGGCTCACTAGATGGGTCACCACCCCCTGCCCTGTCACACACACCCCACCACGTGCTTTTTGAATAAGGGAAGGGGACGGTGTCACACCAACACTGTTTGCACACGGACAGAACCTCTGGAGCCCGAGCAGCCTGCTGGGACCTGCTGAACGCTCTCTGCTCATACTGATGACCACGGAAATCCCAGCTCTGATTTTCGTGGGAGGTAAGGAACACTCAGTACCTCTCTGGATCGGCCCCAGTGCAAGCCAAACTGGATGCTACCTTAGGAATTGGAAATGCAGGTGACAAAGTGTAGGAGGTCAAGACTGAAAACTAACCCAGCTGCGTGCTGCCAGGCTCACCCTGACAGCGCTCTGAACCTCTGGCTTTGTTAGTGTTGCTCTATGGCCGGGTTTGGTTTTGCAGAGCCAGGAAAGAAGCAAAAGGCACCGGGGAGGGGAAGAACAAGCACCCGCGTTGCAGAAGGCGCGATTTCAGTGGAGCATGACTCAGGAGCACAAAGTGCCACCCACTGAAGCGCACCGGCCGCGGGCACTGATGCTGCCGTGAGTCAGGAGCCTGCCGGCCCACACCGCTTCCTGCGGGACACGGCTCTCCCGGGGGGCTGCCACGCGCCCCGCTCGGCCTCAACCTGTCCTCAGCAGAGGAGATGGGAGAGGAACGTGCCCCGGCGCGTGTGGCTGCAGCTCGCCCTCGCTCCCACTTGAAGCCGGGACTCCCTCCGCACCGTTATCTGTAGAGCTGCAGTGGGAATGTCAGTGAATGCTGGTCACAGGCACACAGGGCTTATGGGCTCTGTCACTTCGTGTCAGACACTTGTGATGGTAACGAGCTGGGATCACCTTAGCAGGACTAGAGCAGTACAGCTGTGATGCTGCTGCTTAACACAGCTGCTCCCAAACACAGTTCACCTGCTGCTATTAATACTATACCACATTAGCATCCCCACTACCTTCATGGCAGAGATATGCCCTGTAAAACCCAGCACAGCAGCTCCACGAGGCCTAAAATGCACCTCACCAAGTGACAGCACACACACCCTGCCATGGACCAGGCTGCTGCCTGACATTTCTTTGAGAGGCAGCAATTACCATTTTGATGCAGTAATTGAGCTGTCTGCCCAAGAGCCAGGCTTCATAGTTCAGACAGGAATTCCAGGGCTATCGAATCCCAGATCATATACAGCAGCCAAAACCCCAAAGTAGAAGTGAGGCAATGAGCCAAACAAGGGGTACATGAGAAAAAGGCATGAAATGAGTAAGTGGAGGCTGGATTTGCTACGAGCATAAAAATCCCTCTATCACAGTATACTCACCATCCTGCCACTCGGTATCTCTAGCATGGGGATTGCCCTTCCCTCAGTGCCATCCATGTCCCCTTCTGCACAGGGAACAAACAGCCACCTTGCCCTACAAACCACTTTGGACTGGAAAGCCTGTCCTTAGCACGTCCTTAGCGTGCTGCTTCCCCCCTGGACGTCCTTACCTTCTTGCAGAGAACCAACTGGTGATCAAAGAGAAAGAAAACGCGCTGCTGGTTCCGTCCATAAGGCTGGTAAATCCAGGACATCTCCCCCGTGTAGATCAACTCTGAGCTGCGGTCCAAGATATCATCTCCCTGGAGGGCACAGAGAAGGAGGCCAGGTGAACCCCTGCTCCCAGCCAGGGCAGTGGGCATGGTTCTCTTTGCAGCATGGGGAGAAGCAATAATTAAATGAGATTTCGGCCCTTCTGCAGCTCTCGAAGCCACCCCCCATCTGACTTCAGAAACTGGAGATGAGGGATAATTCTGAAGGAAGTGCAGACGCCCAAAGCATGGTTGTTATGGTCAACAGTGCAATGAGGGAAGATCTGCTCCTCACACTGTCCCTGCTCCCCCCTCTCAGGTACCCCAGGCCCTGGAAGCTGATGCAGGTGCTGGTGGCATCCTGAGAGCAAAGCCCCCCCTCCCACCCAAGACAGAGCCAATTTGTGTTTAGGGTAACAATTCCCCTGGCAACCCCTCCCTTTAAAACAGCATCTCGGGGCACGTCCCCACCTGAAATCCCAAAGTCATCTACACTGGGCTATCAACTCCCTCACCCATGTGGCTGCCAGAACCCATCCCTCCAGACTGCTGCCTCTTCCCACTCGTGCAGGCGATTCCAGTCCCTTCTCCCATCGCTCATTAGAGCTCCCCATCTCCCAGGAGCTGTGAGGACCAGCCCGGCTCCCGCAGCCGGCTGCCAGGATGCCCTCACCCTTCCTCTGCCTCCAGCTAACGCTTGTTTTCCTCTCCCAGTTTTTTTTCCAGGATTCATGAGCAGATGGTCCTGCAAACATGGCGCCCGCTCTCCCACTCTGCGAGGGAACAAACGCACTCACCCTCCACTAATTGGGATGAGCTGGACTCCTTAAAAAGTTAATTAAAATCTATGGATTAAAAAAGGGTGAATTCACCCCCACCGGCCCCATGGGCATCTTTGTGGCTCTGAACCACCACAGAAGGAATAATCAGGATGACTTCAGCTAAAAGGTAAGGAGCAGGATGGAGGAGCAAGGGAGAGAAAAGCGTTTTTCCCCCCTTTTTGGCTCTGAAACTGCTGCAGTTCTAGCTTTGATGCCAAACTAGAAACAACTTCTGGGACCTAACCATCCCCAAATCTCAGCAAACAGCTTGTAAAGGTTCAGCAACTGTGGGGCATGTAGCTTAGCACAGTTTTCTGGTAGAGCTTACACTTGCAGGTGCCAAAGCAACCAGGAGTCACCCCCACTCCTAATTTCTTGGTGAGGATTTCAGGCTGCTGCTCAGGTAATGTATAATTAACCTCTGAGCATTGATTGGAAGCGACTGCCTGAGTCCCTGGGCCCTGTGACAACAGCAACTTCATTAAGTCTCTGCATCATCACGCTGCAGCACAGGCTTCAAATCGCCTTAGCGAGGTCTTTATCTCACTTCTGTGGCGGGGGTATCTGATGGCCTCATTAGGGATAACTTCCCGGGAACACAGACGGTCGTTCCCAGAAGGAACTGGCCGTGCATCCCAGGAGTCAGGGTCTGATTTCAGCCTCCTGGCCAGAAACTGGGGACCTGAGCGCTGCTGCGACAGCTCAGGTATGTGCAAGCCCTTGGATAAGAAGCCTCTGAAGGAAACACACCAGAAACTGTGAGCTAAATATGAGCTTATGTGAAGAAGATTTATACAAGCTTATGCGAAGAGGACTGATACAAGCCTATGGATGGGAGCTTTTATGAGAGGGGGTGACCCTAGAAGAGGCTGGCTGCTAAAAATAGAAAAGCCAGTTTTGTCTTTTACTCCTGTGGTAGCATCTCAAGCCTGAGGACACACAAAGAACTCGGTAAACACTTCTACTTGATTAGCTGAATCCAAACTGTGTAGTCCCTGCAAGCAATATAACCCAACAAAACTCAGATCTGAAACGATAGGAATTTGTATTCCATTTTTTATGTTGGGAAAACAATTTGTATGTACAGTCTATAGGCTGGAAAGAGATGATTTCCAACCCTGGCTTAGCAAATTTGGGAAGAGATACCACAAACAGTTTTGGATAGCACATTCTGGCCAGCCTGCAGCCCACAGGAGCAGCATCTCCCTGGCCTGCTCCTCAAGGCCTCGACTGCTAGAGCAATTCACCAGCGTGCTCGTGCCGCTGGAGCCTCCCAGAGCAGATGCAATGAGCCTT